TGAGCAGAAAAGAGTACTCGGGCCGCCGAGTAAAGGCGTTAACCATGACCATCCATTCACACCTGTCCGCACAAATCAAAGAGGCATAGGAAGAAGCCTTGAAGCCAGAGAACGTGACATGTGAAGTGTTGAGAGGAATGGACAAGAACCTTGAAGTCAGGGATGACGGGGTTCGTTGTCTCATGAACCGGATCTGGACACCAAAATTTGGTGGATTCAGGGACGTTTTCATGAACGAAGCTCATAAAACTCGTTACTCCGTGCATCCCGGCTCAAACAAGATGTACTTAGACCTCAAGAAGCTGTATTGGTGGCCGAACATGAAATCCGAAATAGCTACCTTTGTGGGCAAGTGCCTGACTTGCGCCAAGGTTAAGCTAGAGTATCAAAAGCCCTCGGGACTACTTCAACAGCCAGAGATACCCGAGTGGAAGTGGGAGCGGATTATGATGGATTTCATTACCAAGTTACCTAAGACAACGGGTGGACTTGACACCATTTGGGTAATCGTCGACAGATTAACCAAATCCGCACACTTCTTACCAATAAAAGAGACAGACAAAATGGAGAAACTGACAAGGATCTACATTAAAGAAATAGTGCGCCTTCACGGAGTACCGATATCCATTATCTCCGATAGAGATAGTCGGTTGACGTCCCAATTCTGGCAGTCACTGCAAAAATCTATGGGAACTAGGCTGGACATGAGTACAGCCTACCACCCACAGACTGACGGGCAGAGTGACATGTGAAGTGTTGAGAGGAATGGACAAGAACCTTGTAGTCAGGGATGACGGGGTTCGTTGTCTCATGAACCGGATCTGGACACCAAAATTTGGTGGATTCAGGGACGTTTTCATGAACGAAGCTCATAAAACTCGTTACTCCGTGCATCCCGGCTCAAACAAGATGTACTTAGACCTCAAGAAGCTATATTGGTGGCCGAACATGAAATCCGAAATAGCTACCTTTGTGGGCAAGTGCCTGACTTGCGCCAAGGTTAAGCTAGAGTATCAAAAGCCCTCGGGACTACTTCAACAGCCAGAGATACCCGAGTGGAAGTGGGAGCGGATTATGATGGATTTCATTACCAAGTTACCTAAGACAACGGGTGGACTTGACACCATTTGGGTAATCGTCGACAGATTAACCAAATCCGCACACTTCTTACCAATAAAAGAGACAGACAAAATGGAGAAACTGACAAGGATCTACATTAAAGAAATAGTGCGCCTTCACGGAGTACCGATATCCATTATCTCCGATAGAGATAGTCGGTTGACGTCCCGATTCTGGCAGTCACTGCAGAAATCTATGGGAACTAGGCTGGACATGTACAGCCTACCACCCACAGACTGACGGGCAGAGTGAAAGAACCATTCAAACGTTAGAGGACATGCTAAGAGCTTGTGTGATAGACTTTGGTAAAGCTTGGGATACTCATTTACCTCTTATCGAATTCTCATACAATAATAGTTATCACACTAGCATCAAAGTTGCTCCGTTCGAAGCCCTCTATGGCCGTAAGTGCAGATCACCCCTGTGCTGGGCTGAGGTGGGCGATACACAACTAGCAAGAGGGCAAGTCCCTAACAGTGCAATCACTGGCCCGGAGATTATAAGGGAAACAACCGAAAAGACCATCCAAATTCGAGAACGAATGAAGGCTTCGCACGACCGACAAAAGAGCTATGTAAATAAGAGACGGAAACCTTTGGAGTTCCAAGTTGGGGATCGAGTACTTCTGAAAGTATCACCTTGGAAGGGATTAATACGTTTTGGAAAAACGTGGGAAACTAAATCCAAGGTATATCGGGCCATTCGAAATCCTCGCCAGGATTGGCCCGGTGGCATACAAGCTACGATTACCACAGGAACTCAACCACGTTCATCCTACCTTTCATGTGTCAAACCTGAAGAAATGTTTGTCTGATGAGACCCTTTTCATTCCTTTAGAAGAAATTGAGATCAATGAGAACCTCCACTTCGTAGAGGAACCCGTTGAAATCATGGACCGAGAGGTCAAATCGACGAAACAAAGCCGCATTCCAATCGTAAAGGTCCGCTGTAACGCCAAACGAGGGCCCGAATTTACTTGGAAACGTGAGGACCAAATGAAACGAAACTATCCACATCTATTCCCTAAACCTTGGTGTCCCACTCAAAATGCCAATTTCGGGACGAAATTCCTTCTAACGGTGGGATAATGTGACAACCGTCAAAATCGAGTCAAAGTCAAAGTCAACAAGTCAAAGTCAAAGTCAAAGTCAACAAGTCAAACCGGTCGAACTTAACTAGTAATTCTATGTTAAAAGTTATTCTATGTATAAAAATGTGCATTTATATGTCAAGAATCCAAGTGTCTCGGAAAATCTATGTGTTTATCAATGTAAAACCCTGAGAAGGGAGTTAAACGCATCAAAACATGACTATGGACCCTTTTGGGGACTTAAAATGATCATAAACGAAGCATAGCGGGGTGCACAGACCTTGCATTGCGTGACAATACGATAATATTGACAAAAAATGAATCTCTCCCAAATCTCTCCCAAATCTCTCTCAAAATCTCTCTCAACTTTTTATAGTCATCCGGGTCATCCCGACCCTTAACTTGGCCAAAAACCGCTTGAATCGGGGAGTTATATTGAAAAAAAAACAGCTAATTAGGGCCGAAACCCTTAGGAACCGAACCCTTAGGGACCGAACCCTAAGGAACCGAACTCACCCCTCTTGTGGACCGAAGCTGCCATAGAACCGAACTTAGCCTTCAGGACCGAAGTCAGCATATCTCGGACCGAACCTCAGTACAACCGAAATGAACCAAGCCCTCGATCCATTTCGGTTCCCTCTCACCTTCGGCCCCGAGACCACCCTTCGGCCCCGAGACCACCCTTCGGCTCCGAGTTTCGCTTCTTTCCTTCCTTCGGGCCTGAGCCTCCCCTTCGGTTCCCTTGTGCCTCTCTCGGTCCTCAGCAATAAGAACCGAACCCCTCGCAGGTTCGCTCCTTATGTCCGGTTTTCGACTACTTTCGCCTGTTAAGCCCGTTTTGACGTTTTTGACAGGGATTTTTCACCAAATTCATATTTTTATCATTTTAAACTCCATAAACTCATATTTTATTCATTTCTCAAGGATTTATTAATTATAAATCATTATTTTACATTAAGAAGAGTATTCTACACCACAAGTGGGTCAAGTGTGCCCACTTGTCTTCATATGTCATCTTCTCATTAGTCCAACCCTATCCACATCACACAAACCAAGGCAAACATCCCCTCATCCTTGCAACTTGCACCAGCAACATCTATATAAAGAAATCCCTGGAGGATTTCTTGGCTTACTTTGATCACTTTCAAACACTTTTACACTTTTTCAAACCACCAAGAGAGCCTCTTTTTCTCTCTACTTCCAGCCACTTTTTGGAAGTGTTCTTGAGCTATTAGTTCACTTTTTGGTAAGTATTTCATCTAAACTCAAGTATTATTCCATATTTTCATAACATCCTTGAGTCATCTACCCACATTTTAACACCAAAAATCGTTCTTAGGATCATCCAAACTCTCACGTGTTCATCAAGTGTTCTTGACTTGATACTCTTAAGTACCACATAAAAGTCATGTAGTTATAATCAGAATCTCTTGGAGGGAGAGCGTGATAGTTATGTATAGATCTATATTGGGTCTGACAAACCCGCACCTAAGCTGCTTGCAATAGCTAGACCGACAGGTCTTGGGTGACAAATGTCATAACATTTCGACGCCTGAATAACGTCGTATACGAGGCCTTCAAGTCTTTAGCATGGTTATAACAACTCACATGGGGAATTAACAAAACATATAGTTCACGGGAATTCAAAGATTTCACAAAAAGGAGTTTTATTTAAATACAAAACCACACATAAGTATGACGATTTACTTACATATACTAAGTCTTGGTTCAGATAAGACTACAATAAACCTTTTAGAAAATATTGGATTTTCTGGAAACAAACTTGTAACAAACTTTAAGGAAACAACATTCATTTTTCATTCATAAAATGCTTATGAACTCACCAGCTTTATGCTGATACTCTTTTAAAACAACTTGTATTCTCAGGTAATCAGTAATACAAGTAATCACAAGATTTCTGAAGTCAAGACGCTAAGGCGTAAAATTTTTGCAATATTTTGACATCATATGTAATTTATTTGGAAACATGTACTTTTGAAACGATGTAACCTTTTAAATTATATTTATGATGGTTGTGTTTAGTTTCTTCACTATGGTTATGATACTGTGCATGACGTCCTCGGCCCCCGAACGTTTCCGCCGTTCTGGTTTGGGGGTGTGACAGTACCTTTAACTTTTAAATGCATGTAGGATTCTAAAATTTTATATGGGAAAATAAAAATCATAATTACTAAAATACGTATTTTGATTTCTTAAATATGTTTTATTGACTTCTGACCGGAGAGAAGGGCTCATGTCCAATTTAGTTGTATTCTTCAATATAAATGTATGCAAATTCATTCTTCACAAAGTGAGTTTGTAAAGGGGTTAATGCGGGCTCATCTATATTCTGTGAACTAAAAACTGAAAACGAAATATTTAGATATTTATGTAGATACTCGGTCCATAAAGGGCATGAAGAGTCCGCAGAAGCGCTTGTGCGGACTAAATGGTTATTTAAAAAGAAAAAAAACTATTTTTTGGTTATTTTTTTGGCACTAAAGTTAGTGTTTTGGTCAATTTTTTTAAATTTCTAAACATTTTTGAATAATCAATCATTTTTAACTTATTTAAAATATATATTTAAAAAAAATTACAAAAATCACTTTTAAAAAATATTTATCAACAGCCAAAAGAGTTATTAGTTTTTGAAAAGCTACTAATCAAAAAACAGTTTAAAAAAAAATCCGAAAGACCGGAGAAAAAGTAATTCTCACAAACGTTTGACGCTTGTGTTGAAACAAGATGGTGCCTGTCGTTGCAAAGATCGAATGATATCGATTGCTCCGACATGATGAACACTCACCCCAAGAAGCTGTTAATCCTCAGGTTCTTCTTAAACCCTATTGCTTTAAAAACCCCAAACCCTAATTCATTCATATCATCGACTACCTCCTCTTTTTTGTCCTCAGAATCATCTTCTAATAATCACCTATTTTCCGTTCTTCGTTTTTTCTCTGTCACGTCAGAGGATGAACGACCGATTTCTGATAAAAATGTTGGATTTCAAGACATGACCCTGACCCATCCTCTCGTGACAAGAAAGAGACCCATAGATTTGCCTCAGCCACTCGGTGTGTCGCCCCAAATGGTTTCTCAAGTGATTGATGTGGTGACGAGCAGTAACGGTGATTGCGGATCTAAGTTAGATTCCATGGGCATAACACTCTCTAAGAGATCCGTATGTGAGATTTTTAGGGTTTTGAGTTGCGATAGAGTACCTGGACTGAAATTTTTCGAATGGGTTCGGGATAATAATCCGGATATTCACCGCAGTGCTGATGTTTGTAGTCTGATGATTGATAACTGTGGTTGGTTAGGTGATTACGACACAATGAAGGATCTGCTGATGCAGTTTAAACAGGAAGGAATCTGCCTTACAGACAACGCGTTTGCATTTCTACCTGTACTCGGTTCAAGTAAGTCTCATGCCATGGAATCAATTTCATTAATAATTCGGGTTTTGAATGAAGTTGGAGGTTCTATTCGTAGCTCTGGTGTTTTCTCCATGATTCATATGCTCTGTGTTATTGACTCTTTTGAATTGGCCAAGTTTGTGATGGAAGTTACAGAGAAGAAGCTGAATTACTATGCCATTATAGCTCGTGAAAAATGTAGAAGAGGACATTCAGACGAAGCTTATGCCTTACTTGGTGAGATGCGGATGGCAGGTTGCGAACCAGACTCCAAAATTTACAACTACATTCTTGGTAGTTTATGCAAAAATGATAAGCTTCCTGAAGCTATGAATTTGCTTAAAGAAATGAAAGAAGCGGGTGTTGATCCAGATCCGATAACATTTGAAGTAATCATTGCAAATTCGTGTAGATCTGGGAAGATGGAATTTGCAAAAGATATTTTAAAGAGGTTACTGCATATGGGTCATACACCTCGGCTTACAACTCATGCTGCTTTTGTGAAAGGCTATTTTGATGCTGGAAAATATGAGGAGGCGTATGAATATGTAAGGGATATTGAAGTGAAGAAGATGCCTGCTACGAATAAGATGTATGGGTTTCTTGCAAGGATGCATCAGAGAAATGGAAATATTGTTGTTGCTTGTAGGATTCTTGATGAAATGATGGAGAAAGGTCTGAAGCCTGACTATAGAAATTATAAAAAGATTGAAAATGTGTTGAGGCACACTGGTGGTAGGCATTTAGCTCAAGATTTACAGAACAAGTTCTCAAAATTTAGAGTTGAATAAGAAAGGTAACTTACAATAATCTGATTTTTGTTTTTTTTTCTTCTTATTCTTTACTGTAGTCGTGAAGAATATATCCTTTATTTGTTTTAGACAAATTGATGCCAAAAGGATGAATGACATTTGGGTGGGTTTAGTGTTCTGATTATCTGCAATCAGGTCTAAGCAGAAAAGAAATATTCTTCCAGCAATTTTCTCGCATGTTATGAAGTTGGTATAATAACATTGATCATAATTCTTATTATTGAAAAACTATGGAGTCTTCAGGCTCTGCATCCAAGTCTCAAAGTTGAGAAAGCAAATATCTATTTATTAGTTTCCAACCTTTTCCATAATTTCCCATTTTTCTCTACATGAAGATTCTCATAAATCGCCCAACCCTAGATTGAGGTTTAGTAGTGGAAAATGCTGTCTGGAGCTTGATGAATGTTGCTAGAGTTATTGAAGGTATATGCGGAGAATCTTGCACATTGCTATGATTATATTTGTTTGTTTGCTTGCTTAGTTTTGGGGCAAGCTCTATGTTTATCTAGGGTTTTGTTTGGATGATTATTATTGAATTTCTTGGTAAATGTCTTGATACTTACAAATCACATCCTCCTAATAAACTAAATTTGGCTCCAAGTGTGAGTTCATGAAGGTTTTTGAGTTGATAAATTAGATTTGTTTAATTCAGCTCAAGTATCTTATGCTATTATGTGGCAAACAAGGCAATGCACTTGTTTCTACTTTCTAGTATATGTGAAAGATGGTTACGTGTTTTATCTATTATTTTGATGATTTGTTCAATTCAAGTCAAGTTTCCTTCCGTTGCCCATTTCATTAAAGTTTAGGGATGGCTTTTAGAATGACTTTTAACTTTTTCAAAAAGTCAAAAAGATGTTTGGGTAATAGAAAAGTTTTTTTTAAAATGATTTTTTGCATAGAGTAAAATGAGGGGTTTCAAAAAGTCACAAAAACCTAACTTTTTGTAAATTTACATGTAAAAGTTAAGCTAAAAGTCATTTTGCTAATCCAAACACTTTTTAAAGAGCTTCTTTTACAAAAAGTCTTTCTACAAAAAAGACTTTTTATGTTTAAAAGCAATCCCAAACACCCCCCAGTCTAGGATTGTGTGTTAACAATTAGCTGTTAAACACTGTGTTTGTTCAGTGAGGTAACGCTAATTTTCTTTTCTAATTTTCTTTTTTGATTCATTAGTCAATTTAGAAACAAGCACTTGTAGCCAACTTCTGAGTTAATTAATGGAATTTTGACTTATTAAGGTAATTAACTTTTCGGTTTGTTCACATCCGGGTAAATTTTTTTTTTGTATACATCTAGGTAACAAATTGTTGTAAGTGTTCACATATGACTATTATGACCGGATATAGCAGGTTATATCCGGTCATAATGGTCATATGTGAACACTTTCAACAAGTTCGTTACCTAGATGTATAAAAAAAGTTACCCAAATATGAACAAAACGAAAAGGTAATTATCCTGATAAATCAATTTCCATTTTTATTAAGGTAATCGATCATAATGTTTGCAATATTAATAGATTCAGTTAAATTTCCTTAAAACAATATTTATGACCATTTATATTGGTTACGACATGTTGGGAGTCGTTTTTGGTCACAACATGGTGGTGCCGTAGCACTAGCCGATCTAGTCTACGATTAATGCTAGTTGGTCAAGCTAGTTAGAGTCGGTTACGGGCGGTCCTAGGCTGCCCTGGGTGGTCATTGGCGGTCTAGGCGATCTAACCTGGTCAAAAAGTCAAACAATCAAAATTTTCAAAAAAAAAGTCCTGTAATATCGCAAAATCTAAAAAAAAAAAATCATTTTTAATTAAAGAGAAATCATTATTTTCAATCAACCCAAATCATAAGAACCCAAGATCAAATACAAATGTTCCAATATCAATGTATCATAATATCTCCAAAACAAGTCACCGAAGGATGTGTACGATCACGCCTTTGCTTTTCCCCGATCATCTAAAGTACCTGAAACATAAAACTTAATCTGTCAGTCAAAGCTTAGTGAGTTCCCCCAAGTACCACACACAACCATACATATAACAACATGTATATATGAGCCTTCGGCCTAACTGGACCACCTCGCAGGGCCTGCAGCCTATCTGGACCGCTCTCAGAGCCTTCAGCATGACCAGACCACCTCGCAGGGCCTACAACCTATCTATCTGGACCACTCTCCGGGCCTTCAGCATGTCTGGACCACCTTGCAGGGCCTACAGTCTATCCGGACCGCCTCGGGTATTTTGGCCTTCAGATAAAAACTACTTCTATATAACGACGATGTGTGTTTTTCCATGTCAAATCTTGAGGTTTTTTTAATTATATATATATATATATATATATATATATATATATATATATATATATATATATATATATATATATATATATATATATTCGGAAAAGTCCTAATATTTCACCCTAATTTACGAAAAAGTCCTAAATTAAAATTGGTTTATGAAAAAGTCATAATTACCGGAAAAAATGACGATTTGACCATTTTTTCCGGTTTATCGGTTTCAATACTTATCTGGTTTCATTAAAGTCTCATTATTTTACCATAATTTTCATTAAAGTCCCATTATTTTACCATAATTTGGGACTTATTCGTAAATTATGGTAAAATAATGGGACTTTATTAAAACCGGGTAAGTAATGAAACCGGTAAACCGGGAAAAATGGGCCAAATCGTTATTTTTACCGGTAATTGAGACTTTTCCGTAAACAAATTTTAGTTTGGGATTTTTTCGTAAATTAAAGTAAAATATTGGGATTTTTCCGGAGATTTCCCTATATATATTTATCAAAGTAGTGTATTTTAAAAAGATATTTACCAAAATGGTGTGGTACAAAAAAAAAGTTACCAAAATGTGTACAAAAACACAAAAAAATTTAAAAAGACAGTTACCTGCTACTGCCGATCATCATGGTCATATGTGAACACTTCCAAAAAGTTTGTTACCTAGATGTGTACAAAAAAAATAGTTATCCATATTTGAACAGTCCGAAAAGCTAATTACCTTAATAAGTCAAATTCCCTTAATTAATCAACATATAAAACCAACTACTTCTTGCCCTTAGGCATCTTATTTAGTTATTCCCAATTTCCTACTTCTTCTTACTTGGTTCCATATTCCTTACTCAAGCCTCTCCCTTTTGCTCATTGCAACTTCTCAAATTGTGCCCTTTATTGTTACACTTTCTGCATGTCACAATTAGGTATTTCATACTCAAGCTCTTCCCTTGACTGCATGGCTCATCATCAACCCTTTTCATCTTCTTTTTTGGTCGCTCCACTTGCATGTTTGTTTGTTTAAGGCCGAAAAATGAAAATGGAATTGTAGTAAATAGATTTTTTTTAAATGTTCGAAGGCAATGAGTGTTGTAGGACAAGTAGACTTAGGCGTTGTTTGATAGATATTTTTCCAGGTCCAAACAAATCTTTCCAGCTGAATAAAATGGGCTCTTTTCTGGTAAGATATGTCTTTCCCAGAAAACCCTAAAACCATATCTTTATAGTTGAATGATTATTTTTCATCATTCAACACAGTCAGTTAGATGTACAATCAAACAACATGGTTTCTTTCCCAATTAATAAAATTTTCTAGACAACACCTTTCCAGACAACAACTATCAAACGGACCCTTAGGTCACTTACTTCTATTTATTGCATCCGCTTTATACTTATACATTTCCTTTCATATATCAAGCCGGTAAGTAGGGTGGACCTATTTCTCAAGACCATGCACATTTTTCGCCCCATGTTGTATTTAATACCAAGTTGCACTTACTACATGGTTGTAGGGCATGCCAGTAATATCCCAATACATGCAAGTTCATGTCTTGTCTTTCAAATTAACAACATACCGGTCCTTCCATGGAGTTGTTACTTGTGTTTTGTCAGCCCCATTAAATATATATATTTTGACATGTATCTTGTGGTAAGTGGACCTTGACATCTATCAATAAATTTTTTTTATAACACCTATATTGTCTATTAAATACCATCTAATATATTCAAAACAAGTTATGATAAAGTTGTCCCTACCATCTACTATCTTGGAGATATAAAATAGGTATGGACACTAGCTTGTCCATGTTCAATCTAAATCCTAATTTCTTTATTCTTAGGAACATACCTAGCCAAATGATGCATGTCCATGTTGTTGCGAAGGAGTAACCCGTTATCCATTGTTATCCATTTCTACTTTGGGAATTAGGAAATGATAGTAGATAGTCTCACCACTTACATATCTAAGTTCCTAAAGCATGACATCTAGTTAATACATTGAGATTATGTCCATGCCCACATAATCCATGTAATCCGTTTTTCCATCAACATAACATCTCCTTGGATATTTGGTAAGATGTCATCACGATGAACCTTGTAAGTGAAAAAGTTGTCCGACCCACTTAAAAAATTAAAAAGAAACATGGAAGGGGAAACTTTAAATACATAAGCGTTGCACATATCAAGTTATTACTTGCCATTGTAAGGTCCCGATGTTGAGGTAATCCCAATTTTAACCCTATGTATGAATAAATATTTCATTTTAGTCCTTGTGCATAAGAAAGAGTGCAACATGGCCCATAGTGGCATTTTGGACATTTCTGGCCGGAACTTAGTACGCTGGGCGTACTCTTCGTACACAAGGCGTACACGCGAGGGACTTAGTGTTGGATTGGTGTCTAAGCCCATAACTATTTTGGTATGTACTTGACCCGATTTGCGAGCATGGTCCTTTTGGGTTGCCTTCACCAAAGCAACTTGATAGGATGAATTATGGAGAGAGAGGATTAATTATGATTTATTAATATATTATGAGAATAATATATTAAAGGAGAAATCATATTGTTTAATTAATATTAGTCAATAATTAATTAAGAATTAATTTTGTGGCTAAAAGAGATTAATTAAACTTAGGGGACTAGAACTATCAATTGTGTGATATTCGAATATTGGGCTAATGGACTTCATATTAGAGGAGTGGACGAATTCTATGGGGAAACCTATTAGAAATCGTCCAAGGCCTCGAAGGAGGGAGTTCATGGGTTGCTTAGGGCCTAAGCAGTCAAATTAGGGTTTCCTTGTTAGATAACCCTAATAGCCTTACTATTTAAGGACCCCTAGGGCACCAAAAACGTGGCTAAGAGTTTTCTTAGGGTTTCTAGACGTTTTTGGTGTCTTCTCTCTCCTCCTTCTTCATCCTTATTGCTTATGGTGTTTGTGACTCCATTAGAGGTGTGACACTTGTGACACTAAGCTTTCAGAATCCAATTACAAGAAGGAATCGAGATTGTTATTGCTACATAACAATCAAGGTAAGATCTAAACCCTAAGTCATATGTTATTTGATTATCACATGTTAGATCTAGGGTTTATGGCTTTGGATGATTATTGCATGTTCATTAGACAAACTAGATCCAAAGCTTTAGGGTTTGCATGTACACCATAGGAATGATGTAGTGCTCAAAACCCATCAGTGGTATCAGAGCCTAGGGCTGTTTGTTGATGAATTGATGCATATTTGATCGTTTATTGCTTGAAAAATCGATTTTTTTTGGGTTCTGACTGGCAGACTCGCCGAGTCTATTCATGGA